TCTCTCTCTCTCTCTCTCTCTCTCTCTCTCTCTCTTTCACTTGTCCAAGCCTTTCTTGCCATTCTCTCAACCTATATAACAAATCTCTTTCGCAATTTATATTATCATTTTAATGTTAGATCGTCTATATAGTCAAATTTCATATTAATATAACCCATCGCTCAAATTTTAAAAGAAGCTTTGAACATGAAGCACAACTTGAAATCATATCGCACTTCTGTTTGCAGGAGGCAATGGGTTCCTACACCTTTTTCGTCTTCGCTGGAATCGACATGCTGATGGTGGTCTTCTGCTTCTTCTACATGCCCGAGACAAAGAACAAATCTTTTGCCGAGATCGCCACTCAGTGGGCGTCGCCAGAAGACTTGGAGAAACAGCAAATGGACGACGAGCATATCCCATATCCAGCCAATCAGGAGATTGTCATCATGACAAAGGCGGAGGAAGCCGCGTTAGGAGGGGGGCTGTATCCTAATGGAGTGAGCAATGGGCTTGAGAATGGTCATGATATGACCACCCCAATGTGAGAGAGACTGAAACAATGCGGTTGAAAAATTAGAAGTCGAGGTGTCACTTTATCTTTGTTGTTATCGGCTTGGACTAGCCTTGAGTTTTGGTTGATGAATTTTCTTACCTCTCCACGTTCTCGGCTCTGGTCGGTCGGCTATGAGGTAAAATCATTGTATATGTTGATAAAACTTTAGGAATATTAAAAGCGGTCTGTTGTATGACTCCTATTGTTCTACCCTGAGTGACAATAGGTCTGCATCAGATACAGCTGTGCCCTTGAACATAGGCGTGGATTATATCTTCTGCCTGTGGGCTCTCAAACTGGAAATGACCCTCGTCGCGGTGCGTAAGCCATAGTAACTTTGCAGTACTTGCATTTGTCCGTGGTTATCTATTTATTGTCAGGAATTGACAGTCACATCCACGTAAGAGAAAACAGAATCTTTTAATGTAAAAGACTTTGTGCTGCGTCTGTTTATAGATCTGAACAGCGTATGACTACTGTCGTCTGCAATGTAGTGGTCATGGTTTTCATCGTCGCATGCAGAAGACGCGAATTTGATTCCTGTGTGGGGAGAATTGGTCGCTTTTATGCACAATGGGGTTATCCCGAAAAATGCTGTTTTTAGAAAATTGAAGGCAAAGTTTTTGGACCTGTGTTCAGTTTCTTTAAAAGACAAGGAGAGTTGTCTCTATAACCAATTATACACACCAATGAAACCAAACTTCTCCTAAAGGTAGAACAATACCCACTTTTGGTGTAGGTCAAGATTTCTGGAAACCCCGCAATCTGGGTTAGACCGCGTGTCCTTAAAAGCAACCAATTCTTTTATTGAGTATCTCTCTCTGACTGATTATCTAAATCATAGCGATGGGGATATAATACATCTACAATCAAAATCATCATCATATTATTAGCGTCCGGCATTTGGGGGGGGGGGGGTTTGTTGTTTTTTTACTTTGCATCGCGTTTTTCCAGACAACTCAAAATGGTTATTTCACCTAGTTATTTACAAGTTTAATGCTCTACCTAAATGAACATTGTCATTATTAAAGTGACAAAATATGAGGAAGAAAACTGAGTCAAGACAGTTTATTCGTTGGTATTTTGTTAATTTATCAGTTTGTCATTAATATTTTTTCTAAATGTATTGAACCCTATGAAGCAGAACTGTACATAATGTAACAAAAAGTATGCTTATTTTATACATGTATAATGATATGAATATTCATGACACCATGCCATTTCACTACACAGGCAGTGCCTTTTTCTGAGAAAATCGACATTAAACAATTTAAAGCACACTAAGAAACTTTGCATAACGATAGGATATTCAAACAGAGGAGAGTACTGAAAATTGTCTCTGTTCAAATAGTGTTTAGGACTGTCATTTCAACGCTTTGTTCCTATCATTATTCATCTGAAGAAACTCTCTTAGTTTAAATGTGAAAGTGGTAACGTTTAAGAATCAAACCTCATTGGGAGGAGCCGTTATCCACATAACATGCCTTTTAGCGAATGAACATGTAGATTTACTGAACTATTTTGTTGTTGTTTTTTGGTCAGCACATCATTACTTTAAAAAAAACCCTTTTTTTTACGAGTCCTCATTTTATTTGGCATACGGATATGGCCAGTGAATGAGGTGGTAGGATAGTATGCACGCACACTAAGGCCTGAACATTTCATATCTGTAAATAATGTCATTTCCGCCCGTTTTCCTCATGGGATTTTTCTGAAAACCCCTAGAATGTTTATGATGACGTCGTCTATCGTCCTCATACTCAGGAACACCAAAGACTATTTTGAAATACATGCACTTTGGGAAATCGTACACTTAGCCTCGTCTGACGTAATTATGTCATCATTATTGAATACTAACAAACCATGCAGGATTTGTCACACAACTTTTTGACGCTTTTTTGTTTGTGTTGTTGGTACATGCACTTGTTAACATAGGTCAACCAACACAATGAAATTTTGATTTTTATTGTCTTTGAGAACGAGAGCATTCAGTCGTTGCTGTTGTGCGCCCGCGTGCTCTCTCTCTCTCTCTCTCTCTCTCTCTCTCTCTCTCTCTCTCTCTCTCTCTCTCTCTCTCTCTCTCTCTTTCTTTCTCTCTCTCTCTTTCTCTCTCTCTCTCTCTCTCTCTCTCTCTCTCTCTCTCTCTCTCACACACACACACACACACACACACGCACACACGCACACACATACACACACAAACGCACGCGCACAGACATTTTATGGGCTGCAATTCCTTTTAGGTCGGAATTTCCTTTTACTTCCAGGTTCCTAAACTCTTGGTAAGCATGTAAATATGGCTTCTGTTTAATAGTTCATGTTATACTTATGTTTTCATTGTAAATATATCAATAAAATCACGTGCAAACATATTCCAAACGCAAATTTTGTTGCTGTTTATGTTATATTCAAGTCTTTGTTAACACTGCCTTCGAAAGAATCTAATCAGCAGAAAACTGAGACGTGTAACCTCCAATGGGTAGAGATTCTGATACCTGTCAAATTTTGTTGAATGAACCTTATGAACCATTATATCAGATCAAGTCGGGTTCGGAAATGATGTTGCTGAGGCACACTGTGGCAACAAATAGACCTCTCCTTCACTTCATCAAATTTGTCGTGGAAAGTCATAGCAGGGTCTGTTGCTCCCCGCAAGTAAACAAAAAATCTACCCCTGCAATGTAATGTGTGTAAAAAGATTGACTTTGATTGTACATCACAAGCATACTGCTTTAATTGAAGACATGGAGGCAGCCATCAAGGGTACACCGGAACTGATCTATTTATTCAGAAGAGTTACATAAAAGACAAGAAACCAAAAGGGGACACAATCATAATAGGTTACCACTTAGAAGAGTTATGTTCCTCAATTCAGTATGATTATTACAGGTTGATCGTTATTTTTTAAAAATTACAACGTGAATGTGACACTCTGATTATGAGTGGCTCCTAGACACGATCTTCATCAGTTTGATGCTGCCGCTGGTGATCTAGAAAAGGAAACTTGTTATACATCGGATGAATGCATCAGTTTGTGCCAAAATAGCAACACTTCAGTAGCGACCAGTATATAAGTGTGTATCAATGAGCCCCAACACCCCCCCCCCCCCCACACACACACACCAAACCAGGGCAGTGCTACTGACTGAAGTTGTTTTTAGTCCATTCCCAAAGGGGGGACATGAACATGTTCTTATGCACAGTGAGAGAGGATTGTAAACGGGCTGATTTATCAATGTCATGCTCATACTGTGCCGGAACAACATAGGGGGAACTGCTGCTTTTTCTTTCCCCATCCTTACTGTCGTAATTTTTCCTCTACTTTTTTCTATGTTTGTCACTCTCTTGTGAACTGCTGTTTCCAGGGTGCCTTGATAGTCGAAGCAGACTTTGTGCTCTTGAGGCTAGACAGGTGAACAGAGTAAGTTTGATTCGGCGTTTGGACTTCTCTGTTGACATATGCGTTCCCTTGGCGCTCATAAGACTTTATGCAGTTGCGAGCGCCCCAAAATCTTACTAAAACTAAACGAACCCCAATCAAAGATTCTGTATAACAAGATGATTCACTCCTCTCTTTCAAGCAATTAAAAAAGTGTCCTCAAAACCCGGTGGCGCCCTCTTCAAAAAAGCGCCCGCTTTGCGGGCAGAGTTACCCTACTTTTGCGGAAAACAATAAAAGCGAAACTAACAAACTGTTTCTTCTGGAGAAACGAAAGAGAGGTTCAAAGCAAAGACTGAAGCGCTATCTGAAGCAATGCGCAGACTTCTGCGGACACCTTTTTGGCTGAGTGAACTATCTTGCTATGTACGATCTTTGCCCTGGATCGAATTCCCAAAGAGGTGTACTTGAATATGGAGCATTTCGAGTGTTGTCAGTACTTTCCTTCCCCTTGGTTCCGATGAAAGGGGGGGGGGGGTTAGTTCGCCGTTCCCATCGCTTAAACTACTTTTCAGACTTTTTAAAGGTGATACATGTATAGATCAATGCCACGATATTACAATACTAAACTGCTACAAGGCTTGTATACATTTTCTTATACGTCTTGGAAAGCTTAAACACTTTAGACCCATGAAATTGAAACGAGAATACAAAAAGCTAACAGCGTCAGCTACCAGCTTGCCCTACTCCTCAAACATCCTAACATCTACATTGAGACCAAAGCCAAGCTCATTAACTGTATCTTCATCCCCATCTGGACCTACCAGTGCCAGACATGGACCCTGACGAAATGTCTGGAACGTAAGATAACTACTTGCGAGATGAGATGTCTAAGAGAGCCGTCAACAACCAAACCAGAAGGGACATGGTCAGAAACAACAAGATCAGAGAAATGATGGGAACAACACCTGTCATTCACTAATTTCGAAGGCAAACAATCAGGTCTTTTGACATCTTACACGTATGGCACCTCACCAGTTTGCTAGTAAAGCCTACTATAGAAAAGTATCAGGGTACAAGGCAAGAGGAAGACCAAGAAAGACCTCGATCCAGGTTGTGAAGGATACTCTGAGAACATACAATAACCCACCCAGCCAGGCCATCAAACTTGCCTGAGAAAGGGAGCTCTTTGTCTTCTCGACGCCCCAGAGGTTCAAGAGGACGGATAAAGTAAAGTAAAATAAAGACCCATGAGAGCGGAATAATTATTATCTTTCTACTGTAGGTGTTTTACAACCCCCCCCCCCTTTTCAACACATGAGTGAATGAATAAATGAATGAATGAAGGAATGAATGAAAATTGTAACCTCACTTCGAAGGCAAACATATTTTATAATGTCACACTTCAGTGTATTCTGTTTGTCAATAGTTCATACGGTGTAGAGTCTTAAATAAACGGAAGTCAACATTATGGCATCACGTTCAAAAGAGTTCTCTTATTTGCCTTTTCAACCTCATTCTGACCGTGCACTATTTTTCTTTCAAGGTAAGCTTGAATTTTTGCATCGATTCCAAAGCTTTGATTGGGGAATGGGAGGAGGGGGG